AAAATAGGAAGAGTAAAGAACAGCTATCAAGCTCGGTCACAATAAATGAATGTCTATAACTGTTCTCCTAATATCTCCCTCTCTTAAAAATACGGGTTACCTGGGGTTCACATAGCTCTTCGACGCGGATCCACTTGGAGAGGCTGCACGAATCTTCTCGTTCTCTTTGGCCTGTGGCGAGCTCCATATTCCACGCATTCTAGTGGACTAAAGTCACCACCTGCAGGAGTACTAGGCTTGCCGGTGTCCAGCAATTCATTGACGTCAAGTCCGTTGGCTTTCGGAACGACGACACTATGTGTATAACGTGACCTCTACTGGTTTACGTGGCGTCTCCACACCTGTGTACCCACTTGCACATCCTACACGACGTTGCCTCGGCGCCGCACGACTCGTCCTGGTATCCATGCAATCCGCCGTCCTTGATTCGCAGCTGCAAACACAAGATCGCCCACTTTGAAAATCCATTTTCTTGCACCATACCGCCTGTTGTACTGACGCTCCATAACTGAATTCCGTAGTTGTAGAGACTGGCGCTTGTGGGTCAGCAAATCTAGTGTGGTTCTCAACCTTCGACCCATAACTGCTTCAGCTGGTGATTTAGCATCTGGTGAATTAGGATTCGGGGTTGCTCTATAGTTCAATAGGAAACGTTCCAATCTTTCGTTCAACGACCTCTCCTCTTTTGACTTCCAAAATGCTCGTTTCAGTGTATCCCCAAATCTTTCCGCTTGGCCATTAGACTGCGGATGATACGGGGCCGTCCTCACATGCTCGATACCATTCTGTGCACAAAATGCAGCAAATTGACGGGACGTAAACAGTGACCCGTTATCTGACACGACTGTTACTGGCAATCCGGGCCGACTGAAGACATGTCTCATCGCAATAATTGTGCCGTTGGCCGACGTGTTTTGCATAGTGATTACCTCCGGCCATATACTGTAGGCGTCAATAATAACGAGGAAATGCACTCCTTCGACTGGTCCTGCGAAATCAACGTGGATGTGCGACCAGGGCGATTCAGGGTTTGGCCAAGCTTGTAATGTAGTACGTACCGGTAACTTGGAGTCACTGATGCATCTGGAGCACGATAGGCCAATATCTTCAATTTGGCTCTCCAGCATGGGCCAAGAAACGTAGCTGCACGCAAGCGCCTTCATGCGAGCGATTCCTGGATGGCTCTTGTGCAGTTGCCGTAACAGGCGTGACCTGAGTATTTCTGGAATGACGATGCGATCTGCAAGAAACAGGCAGGAAGCAACTTCAGACAAAGAGTTGCGTCGTGCGAAAAACGGTGTCAATGCTTCTTTCGGGCACTTCTTTGGCCGGCCCCGTCTCGTGTAGGTTAATACCTCATGCAGCAATGCATCCTGTTCAGTGGCTTGCTTCACCATTGTGCCAGTGACCGGTAAGATAATCACGGCGTCATGCACCATGTAGTTGACATCCGTTTCGGCTGCGATGGTGGCAATGACTGCGTCTTCTGACTCACGCTTACCGGTATCGATTAATCTGGAAAGGGCGTCCGCTTGCCCTATAGAATCCGTAGACATGTATCGCATGCTGAAATCAAAACCCAAGAGCAGAGTTGCCCAGCGCTGAAGTCGACTGGCCGTATATGCTGGAATCCCCTTTTTGGATCCAAAGATTGTCAGAAGCGGTTTGTGAGCAGTCACCAACGTGAACCGTCGACCATATACCATCTTATGGAACTTCTGCACTGCAAAGATGATAGCGAACGCCTCTTTCTCAATCTGAATATAATTCTTTTCGGATGCCGTCAGCGCTCGTGCAACATGTGCTATAGCCTTTTCAGATCCATCTGGAAAACGATGTGAAATGACAGCACCAATTCCATAGCTTGAAGTGTCCGTGACCACGATAATCTCCAGTTTCGGGTTATAAGGCGTACGCAATAAGTCTGACTTCATCAGAGATTTCAGTTTCCCGAACAACTGTTGACACTATGCAGACCATTTCCATTCAACGTCTCTCATCAGCAGATGGTTTAGAGGTTGACGCAGACGATGCATGCATGGTAGAAATTCACTATAGTGACTCACCATCCCAAGGAATGACCGTAAAGTTGTGACACCCGATGGCGCCGGTAACCGGTCTAGCACCTCGATATTTTCGGGATCGGGTTGTCGGCCGTTCTCGCTAATTACAAAACCCAGGAACTTAATTAACTTCAGGAAAAATTTGCAGTTGTCCGCTCGTAATCAGAAACCGTAATCTTTGATTCTAAGTAGCACATCATTCAGTCGTTGCAATAACGTATCTTGCGTCGATCCCATTATGACGATGTCATTTAGGTAGGCTGCCGCTCCGGTGACACCCGTCAGCATGGCATCCATGACTCGCTGAAAGGTTGCCGGTGCCGTTTTGACTCCAAATGACAAACGGTTGTACTGGTAGAGACCGCGATGCGTGTTAATTGTTAACAGCATTCTGCTTTCGAGTTCAACTTCTAACTGCAAATAGGCATCTGCAAGATCAAGGGTAGCAAAATACTTGCCTCCGTTCAGTTTTACAAACAAGTCCTCAGGGAGTGGAAGCGGATACTGATGGGGTTCCATTGCCGCATTCAGGCCCGTTGAAAAATCTGCACACAAACGAATAGAACCGTTCAGTTTCCTGATCACAAAAATAGGCGCGGCCCACGGTGAGTAATTGCCTCGCTCGATCACACCGGCCTGCTGCAATGGATCAAGTTCCTGTTCAACAAGTGCTTGGGAAGCATAAGGGACAGGACGTCTGGGTCGAAACACTGGTCTGGCATCCGGAAGCAGCGTAAGTCTTGCCTGCATTTGCTTAGTGTCTGAGTTCCGACTGGAATACACAAGCATACTTCGTTTGAAGCTGTTCAGAGATGCTTTGATCCGGAGAGGTCGGTATGACTGTATAGTGCACTGTGACATTCCTTTCAGCACAGACACCATTCAGTCGTACATTAAACAAGTTCAGCCTTTCAATCCAGTCGATTCCGAGAAGATCGACGTCGGTGCATGAGACTAGGTAGATTGTGCCGTGGAGTTGTAGTTCCTTGAAGTTGACCTCACATTCAATCTCTCCATCCAATCTCAGCGGTTCCCCGGATGCATTCTGAGCCGTCAGAGTTGTGCGCTTGAATGCTGGTCTTCCAAGCTTCCTCCAAGTGGATCGCAAAATGATTGTGATGTCGGACGCCGTATCTAGTTGCAAGATGACTGGAATACCATTGACTTTTACTGTTAAATACTTTCGCTTGCCCGCGAATTCCGCGCGGAATGCAGCGAGAACTACCTTTGTGACCGGTCCATGAAATTTCGCCTTTCTGAAGTTGATGTTTGTGCGCAATCTCGAGGGAAGTGAATGTATGAAGTTGTGCGCAACTCGACAGTGGGTTTCCTTATGACCAAACCGCCTGCACTTGTGACCTTGCTGCCTTTTGTAGATACAGTCTCTCACAAAATACCAAGCGCCACAATTCCAGCATGCGGTCGGGGGATTCTGAGTTGACCGGTTCTGATTCATCACTTTGTCATAGATAAATGTGCGACAAATCTGGGGTTCTGTCCTGTGGTCAACAGTTTCAATCATTTTTGTGTCGTGCTTCAAGTTAATCAGTCGCTGGCATTCGGCTGTAATCTCTTGCAGCGTCAAATGTGGCTTTTTTGAGCTGGTGGAGAATACGTCTTCGAATATCGGCATCTGCGTGGGACTGGTGGCTGCACACGAAAATAAGACGCTTGAATTGATCAGGTGTCATCAGCCCCAGTTTGAATCGTTCACATTCGCGATTTACGATCCTGGCATCTGTGACAAAATCAACGGCACCGCGTTTGACTAGCTGCAAAAAATTGTAGCGAAAAATGAACAGAGAGGCCTGCTCACCGAATATCTGCGTCAGCGTTTTCAACGTCTCATCGAAGCTGAAGTACCTTGCATTCTTCGGCAACACGAAATTTGTGTAACGTTCATGTTCGACTGAGCCAAGTTTCCTCAAAAACAAACGAACTATCCAGGCCTTGTCTGGGCCCGCAAGTTCCACACGAAAAATATCTTCATAATTTAAGAACCAGGATTCAAATGTCAAACCGTTCAATCCATCGAAAACAAATTCTGTGATTGAAGCGGCAAGGGCGTCCACCGATGGCCGTGCGGTTGTCGTCGGAGATTCGCTTTGGATGTTCAGTTTCGGAGATAGCAACTCGATCAACTGTCGTTGAGATATTTCAAACTGGAGTTGTTGCTGTTGCAGGAGCGTCTGCATCTGCTCGAACGAAATCGACATAATTACGGGAACCTCGGTCGCCAGCAAATCTGTTGTGTGCCGCTAACGCCTTCACCCCACGAAAGCAAGAAGGGTCCAAGACGAACTAGAAGGAGACTTGTATACACGAAATCACAGTTGCTTATATAGTTTGAAGGCAAAATGAAGGGAAGCTACTAGACTACACTTGAGCCAACCAACTGAAGGAAAAACGTAGAATGCAACGGCGAATAAGCAACCGTGTACGTAAGAGCAAATAGCGTAGGTCCTTAAAATTAGCATCATTGGACTCCAAGCGTAAAGCGAACGACCATTTACAGTGACGGGCACTAGCCAATCAGAATGACGAAAGGAAACGTTTAAACAAAAGTCGCGAAACAAACGCGAATAAGGAATGCAGACCCGAAAGTTGAAAAATAGTACAATAATTGTGTGAAACTAACTATTCCTTTATCATAACCAAGTAGAACGGTGATGAGAAGAAAAACCAATAGAATATTTTCCTGCAAACAGCGCTGTTGAGAAGGGCATGACGATAATCGGTAGCCACGTAGTGGCAACCATGAAACTGCAAGAAATGTGGGCAATAAAAAATAAGTGGCATCAATTTTACGGCATAAAATACGACTATGTCTGGTATTTTCCAAAAAGCGGCTGATATCTCTGCACATGACCTTAGTTGCTACTTTAAGTGAGGTCTAATGAAATCGGTCGTATTTGGCTGTTATTTCGACTTGCAACCATGGAGGCTGACTTCAGAAGCGCTTTTGTTGGACATTCGTTTCATAGCTTTGATGAATTCTATTCCCTATTTACCTCATTTATGCATCGGAACAACGTCAATTTTGTTTGCTGTAGCAACAAAAGAAGCAAGTATCATATGGTGAGGTATGATCGCATCGTTTATAAATGCGTGCGCAGTAAGCGCCGCAAAACAAGGAGCAAAGGAATACGGCGAGTCTAGTATGTGGTTTATATGTTGTTAACCTTCCAATTTAGTTCTCGAGACACCGATTGCAGTGCTCGTGTTAATGTTGCTCGGGATGGAGGTAAACTGAAAGTGCTAACGTTCCAGCTCTTCCACAACCATCCATGCAACCGGTTTTTTTCGAAAGGCACCCTATAAACCGGCGACTTATTGAGGAGGAATGCAATCAAGCTGCTGATTTATTTCGATACAACACCCCTACGTCCGAAATAAAGCAATACATCGAGAATGCATTCGGGAAACACGTCACAAGCGACGACGTCCGTAATGTGCGCCGCAGGTTGCGTTCGCCCGTGTCATGTAGGTGAAATGTCACGTTATTATTGCTAGTCAATTTGCGGCAGGCCATGCAGAGCATGGAACAGGATGGTTTCGTGGAAACCATATCTGAAGATGGCTTACTTACGCATGTGTGCTATGCTCGTAATCAGCAAGTGCAAATGTTTCGGCGATTTCCACACGTTGTGTGCGTGGACGCAACGCATGGTACAAACCGCCTTGGATACGTATGACATTCGTCGTTAAATTTCGATACAGTTTCAAGTTGTACCAGTTCTTGGTAACCGACGGCATGGGTTACGGACGACCAGTTTTTTATGGGTTTGTGCGTAAGGAAACGTTCACAGCGCTAGTGAAATTGTTCGGTTTATTTCGTGATGCAATGGGCCATGACATCTCCGTACGAACTTCCGTTATGGTTAAAATGGCTGCTCAAATGCGCGCAGCACAAGCAGTATTTCAGTGTGACATTCTGCTGTGCTACTTTCGTATCTGCGAGGCCGTTCGGAAGCACGTCAGTTACGCGAGTTGTTTTATTCCGATCTGTAGACTAATAGCTTTCGCTCACGTTATTTATTTCACCGGATGGCTACAATCGATACGGAGACCGAGTATGCTACTTTCCCAACCTTTACGCTGCTCTAGGTTCCAGCAGGATCTTTGCCTACTTCAGAGGATGGATTCTCAGTTTGTACGGTATCTAACCTCTCACTGGATGTTCATCAAGCGGTCGTGGGCGACTTACGCTCAAGCAGGATTAGTGCATTTCGGGAACACCACGAACAACCGTGTCGAGAATGCGAATCTTAGATTAAAGAAAATAACCCATGCTTCCGACCGCCTTGCTGTGGCTATGAGTAAAGTGTGGAAGCTGTCTGAGGTTCTGCTAAAAGAATTTCAGACGCAGTGTACATACTTCTGTGGCAGACACCAGGTGTTTGAACATGAAGGTAACACCTACGTGCAGGTGCTGATATGCCGTCTAACAACGTACGCTGGTACCCTGGTTATGCGTCATCTGGCAACACCGAAGTTAGGTGCGGTGTGCTCAGACATTGGAGCGGGACTGGTATGCACTCTTTTATGTTTCTACTTTTACAGTTTGTTGTTCAGGATCAACACCATCGATATGACATCGACTGCGCAAATGGCACGTGCACTTGTGCATTTTACGGGCACATGTGGCTACCGGGCGTCCATTTACTGATGTTATATAAGGAGAATCAACATCCGGCGGGTAAAACAGCGATTATGTTTCATTCCCTTTTTAGAAAACATACCTATCCGTAGTCGGTGGTTAGCGAAGTACAACATGCCGGAGGATTCCATGTTGCTTTGGACTCTGAAGGTAGCCAGCTCAAGGCAGCTCAATTCCTAAGTAGCAAAATTGCTTGCTCGGCTTAAGTGCATGGAAGACGTGAACCCCAGTGCAGTATGCGGGTTCATCGATAGCCTCATTCAACAAACTGATGACCTTATAGACGTAGCACCAGGTGCGCGCGTCGTAAGTGATAAGCCACACTGCCAACCACCGCGTAAGCAACCGCGGTGGCACAAAGCCGGTATGTTGACTACATTTTGCTTCGCTTGCGGTGAACCGGTTGCATGTACGGGCGTGCATTGTGTGCACAACCGGCTACTGTACCACCGTAAATGCTTGGTGGAGAACAAAACCGACGGTTGCATAGTTTGCTCCCGTGACCTAGCAGCAGTTACTTTTCCCAAAAAGCCGTCACGCAGCAGTAACATAAGTGAATTGGAATCAAGTAATCTAGTTTTAGCTTCACGCCGTACACCATCTCCGAATATCACGATATCATCTACCCCATCTACTTCCCCGGCTTACGAAGGCAAGTGCTTTTAAATAGCTTTTCACCTCCGCTCAGACACTTCGGATGGTTGTGACACGGTACCCTGTTGCAGCTATGCTTATATGTCACATAGAACTTTGAACGCACCCGCTATGCCTATGCGCTTACAAAATGAGACGAACACTTCGGCTGAGTTGTAGCCTATCTGCAAACCTGCGTTTGAGTATGTCATAATATATTGTTACCTGCATCCTCTTCAGTGTAGATCTGGATTCCACTGCAAATGAACCCTTTGCTGGAAGGACAACCGTTATAAGAAACACTTTCATGATCTGCTTGCCAGACAGTAAGTTCTTTGCCATTGTCATTAAACTACTGCAGCCGATGATTACGACTTTGCCTAACTGCTTAAAGGCCAGCCTGTGAGAACGCAAACTTGGCCCGTTTTAGGGCCACCTCCTGTTTCGTTTCCATGTGCTTCCCTCTTGCCAACCCGACGCAACTGCTCGGTTGACGGCATTGATTGGAACATTTGGTAAATGAATCGGACGGTGGCTCTGCAATCCTCGCAGGAATGGCCCAATTGATGTGTAACTGGGCCTACAAGCCCATGCATTCCTTGTTCGCCATGCTTTCCTTTAGATACATTACATTTACCCCACTCCTTAGTGATCCGCTGTGTTGACGTGACGCATATGACGTGTCCGGCACATTTGCGTGAGCACTTTGAATGGGTCTGAACAACAACGTTCCCGGAAATGTTATCTGTGCCCATAGGTTACTTGATAATTCGGTTATCATTTGCATGTAACCATATCCGCACCGTCCCTGTGCTGTTAAAAAGCTGGCTATTGATGCCTCCTGATGGGCACTTTTGGTGCTCTTGCAATGAGCTTTTGCCCCCCGTCTGGACGGGTAGACGAAGACATATGTAGGCTACTGTATAACTAGTGCACTAGTGCTGCTAGTGCTAAGTGAGCTATCTAGGCTATTTTATGACCAATGCAACAGGCCTCTAATGATATGTCTTGAGGCTCCAAGACCTACCTTCTTGGTGATATTGCTATGAGACCTATGTAGGCTACTGTATCACCAGTGCAGCAGATCTGTGCTGATATGTATAGAGGCTCCGAGACCTACGACATTGCTGCTAGTGCTAAGTGAGCTATCTAGGCTATTTTGTGACCAATGCAACAGGCCTCTAATGATATGTCTTGAGGCTCCAAGACCTACCTTCTTGGACTGCGGTGTGCACTTCCGCTACTCTGTTTAGTTGTTTTAGCATATTGAGTATATTCTTACTGAGGCTGGCAATAGGTGTCCATTTATTACCTTGCGACGTTACTCTACATGAAGTCAGGTACGCTGGTCACATTAATATACGGAGCACTTCCGGCGCATCCTCCTTGGATAGATCGTACCGGTAAATACCTGCTCACGAAGCGCTCTAAGTGCTGCCGAATTTACCGGACGGCTTGATCAAACAAAACCTACGGAAGCTACCAAGCGGTTAGAAATAAATGTAAGCTACATACCAGGACGGCTCATCTTTAATTACCGTTGAAATTGTATGGGATATCTGTATCCTAGCAATCCATTTCATGCCCGTGCTTAGTACTGTGGTACTGTGTTGCATCCACTAGCATCATTTAATGAAAGTTGTTTACCAAACCTATTTCTCCCACATTGTATATCTATTTCATTAGCAACCACCACAAGTTCAAGTTCAAGTGGGACTGGAACGATAGGATAAATCCCGTAAGTGTACACACTCAATTACATTTACATTTACAGAAAGCTCGCTGTATTCCGCTCACAGCGACGGTTAATTTTCTAACTGTTAGTGTAATTAATCCTTCAGTTCACTGAGTAGTAGAGAGCAGAAGAGAGGCCCCGTGAAAGCTACTTCGCTTCGTCGTGGAACGATTTATCTATCCGTGTATAAACAGCTGCTGTATTACTTTCATTACTTAACATTTCACTGTAACCTGATAACTTCTATAACCCTTTTAGGTATCCTAATACGACCACCGAGCTTTCTGGAATATCGAACAGAACTTTCTCAATGCGAAATGGATCCCACCAGTGCAACAATCATTTTGACTGCCAATAAGCTACTCACAGCTGCCAGAGGTATACCAGCTTATTGCATCCTTTTCCAAAGAATGAACAATGACATTGTGTGATTTCTACTTACCAGATAGCAATCCATCGTCCTTGGCATTTGTTGACATCGTTCATTTTTGTGCCAACGGTTACCAATAGTAATCGTCATATTGGTGCACTCAAACACACATTTTCAGGTTAACCTGACTAGAAAATACACATCTCCACGCAATTCTAATCACGTCCACGCAGCCAATCGGATACCTTCGCCACCTTGAATTCACCCCGTTTGCCTTGCCACTAATGGCCAGCCGATAATCGTCCCTTAACAATGGCGCGGATGTACCAATCGGGCGAACCCAGTAGAGCGTTTAAACCACAGTCAAGAAAAAGAAAATAGGAAGAGTAAAGAACAGCTATCAAGCGCGGTCACAATAAATGAATGTCTATAACTGTTCTCCTGATAACATTCAAGGTCACGTCAGGAGAAACGGCGAGAAGAATCAGTGGGTCAAACGACACTAGCCGTCCTTGAAATCCCCGGCCTTCCGTTGCCTGGAATAGTCGCTTCGGAATTTGTGTGCCAATTGCTGTAAAACAGAAAATGGCAACGTGTTAGTCGGCAAACAAACGCTTAATGAAATGTTACAGGACTAATCACGCACTATCTAGCCTCTTTTGGGTTTTGTGCATTAACGGTTTATTGGTCACTTAAACGTAATAGTGCTCATATACTTTGCCGTTTAGCGGCAACCCATGGTAGAACAACCTTAGGTTTGCATGCCCGTTGTTCTCTTATTTACCGCGCGCACTCCAAGGTTAGCTGGATAGAAGAATGCCCAGCTACAATAATAATTGCCTGACAATGTACCAAAACAAATATATGTAACAATGTTAGAGTAAGTTGTGTCCAAACTATCTGAATATTTACCAGCTGCAGAC